CAGATGCAGGACCTTGCACTTGGTCCTCCTTGGACTTGACCTCCAGCTTCAGAGGGGCAAGAAGTAGCTGAGTGCTAATGGAGCTTCTCCTTCCATCCTGGGTAGTGACAGCTGTCTCTGCAGTGGGGCTGCTCTTCTCCTAAAGGTTTGCCAGTCTTATCTTAGCTGTTTCTCCCATCTTAGGAGACAGGACAAGGGGTTAGCTACTCCTAGGAGCTGTGGAGATGTGCAGAACATCAGCCGAGAAAGGCGTAGCCTGGAGAGGTGGATGTTTTTCTCCCCTGGCTCTGGTGAGGACTGCAGGTATTATCTGGAGGTAAAAAAAAGCTTTCCTTGCTTTCAGCAAGGCAGAGGAGGCATGTGGAGTCTCCATAATTGATATCAACAACTTTCTCAGAGGAGGGGATAAAACCTGAGTTCTGGAAACTTTGATTCCCTTCTGGTGCTGAGGGGAGAGGAATAAGGGAGGTATTATTAGAAAGCATTTCTTTTATTTAACAGATGTTAAATAGCACCATACCACTATATCAATCTGTCAATTACACTAATAGGAAACAGCATATAGAAAAGTTAAGAGATGGGAATTGTTCAGGGAAACCAACCCCCCTGCTTCTGCAGGATCCCAGGTTTGGGGCTGGGGGCTGAGCAGAGCCCCCGCGGACGGCGTGGAGCACAAGGAGCTGCTGCACATGTGCCAGGCACATGTGGATGAAAAGGAGAAGAAATAGTTATGGACCACTGCAGAAAGAGCTTGTTGCAGATAGACAAGTTCTCTCACATCATGTCCTGGTTGTCGTGCTGAAACTGTATTAAAAGTATCTTTAAAGCAGAGATCATATGTATCTTTGGCCTTTTGTTTTAATGTGTTATATATATATCTCATGCTAGAAGTTTCAGAGGTGTTAAACAGTATTTTCAGAAACTAGGTGGATTACTAAAGTCTGGAGGGGAAAAACAAACCTCTAGTGGAAGATTAAAGGTTGAAAAGCAAGCTTGGCTTTGCAGTAGCGTGCACTGGTCCCAGGTCAGACCCAGTGCTGTAATGAGGCCGGGGGTGTTTTCCTCTTGGACACAGCCTTGCTTCCTTCAACTCGTCCTGGTGATCCCCAGCCACCGCCTACGACTGCAGCCAGCCACGTTTGGTAAGGTTTTATTAACATAGCTGCATGGAGCCCAAGGTTAAGTGATGGGAATTTCAAAACAAAACAAAACAATAAATTAATACAACGAATGTGTCACCAGCTGATCCTCTTCTGACCACCATCTGTCCCCTGATCATGTGATGTCTCCCAGCTGGCCACCCAAGAGACAAACCTTGCAAGATCATCATCACAACATATGCTGCTATTTACACATTTTTAAAGGTAATAGTTGCTAGGCTGTCATATTAGTAGTTTAAAGTAGTTATTTGGAAACTAGAGGATTTTTTTTCTTTTTTTCTATGAGGAAGCCAGTGACTCAGCAGCTCAGCAGGTATATTTCTGACAGAGACATGTTCAGAGTTGGATTAGTGGAAGTTCCTATGTACAGTATATGTGACTTTCCCCCCTTCCTCCCCCCCTTCCCTCCTGTTCCATTGTATGCTGTTGTGACTTTTGTAATAAACAACAGAATAAATAAAAAAGAAAGAAGGCAATGATTCTACAAAATTAACTAGTGTACCTTTTAGGAACATTACGTGCTCTTTTTGCCATCTCCAGGATGCAAACCAAGCTGTGCGTTTTTAAACTATTGTTAAGATCAAGGATGTGGTTATGAGAAGACTTACAATTTATAGGATACTTAAGCATTAAGGATTGAGGCACAGAACATTTCCTGGGGATTAAGGACTGACTGGGTGAGCCTCAGGCCATTAACCCCTGCCTGTCATTAATCTTCAGGAAATGCCCTGCAGTGAGGTCGTTATTGCTGTTATATGCTGAAACAGAAAATAATAATAAGAAAGGTCCGTGGTTTATTTATATTTTACATAACATAGTTATTCTGGGACTGTAGGAAATGAACATGCTTCTCTTTAGCTGGTCGTACTGCCTGAATTAATGCAGTTCAGCATCTCAGTGTTTTGTGAAAGATTATAGTCAGATTGCACGAGTGTAAGCGGGGGCAGAATTTGGCCCAGACCGCTTGTGTTGCACAACATTTAGCACGATGAATAAGCAGTGCTTCTCTGGAATAACTGCTGGCAGAATTCAGCCCCATACAGAAACCGGCTCAAAATGCTTGTTTTACAGCAAAGCAATTTATTCACAGTTCTAAGCATCTCGCAGCCTTTTTTTAACTCATTGAATAATCCTTTTAGGTTCCCCATAAAGCAGGTGAAATGCTTCTGCTGCAGTCCTAAGGCAGAACACAGGCTGCATAAATAGCATCTAAATTACTAGGAATACAAAATACACATACAGTAATACATACCTACAAAGGCAAATTCATACTGACAGGACTGCAGTGTGTGCTTATCAGCAGCAAAACATCTCAGGGAAAAAAAAGTGGCTTTGTATTGAGATTATATATACGTCTCTCTATATTTAAACACTTAAATACGATTTTGTGCATGTTCTCAAACCCAGATGCAGGGTCCTTTTTAATGAGCCTGCCTGCTTAAACATTTATTAGCTTAGAGATGTATAGTTTTTATAAAGCTGGCTGAAGCTTTTTGCAGAATATCTTTGCAAAAAAAAGCTTTTTTTTTTTTTTTTGTGTACATGGCCTCAGTCCTTGCAACCTCCTAGAGAGTCTGTCAAGGCACAACTTAAAAGCTCGTTCAGGCGACCATGACCCCCTGCTAGCAGATTGTCTGCCTAAAAGGTAAGGGAGAGCTGAAAAAGAAGTAGAAACTTAAAAGTAGCTTCTCAAAGGCTGCATAGATCTTTTTCTTGTTAAACCTAAAGTGTTTAAAAGCTTTAATATTGATGGCCTGTCAACTTTGTCCTGATTCTTTGGCTTTCAGTTAAAAGGTTTTTGTTGTTGTAGCTTATGCAGTTGCTCTGTTGCTATGGAAACGTGACATCAAAATGACGTTTCTCTGTTTAAAAGCTTTTAACTAAATTCCTGCCTGTCAGATGTAGGCCCCATTTTGTGCACTCAAGCTTCAAGCTGTTGCAAAAAGGTTTCATATGTTCTGTTGTCATTCAAATTCTTTATCCACATATGCATGTCTTGCACTACAAAAAACCTAAACTAAAAACTCAATCTATATTAAGTGTCCTCTTTTAAAACCCTTTTAGGTCAGTCAGCAATGGCTGCAGCAGAAATTCCCAGTTACATTGTCTCTTCTCAGACTGAGAAACACAGGAGGGCCAGAAACTGGACTGATGCAGAAATGAGAGGTTTAATGCTGGTTTGGGAAGAATTTTTTGATGAGCTGAAACAAACTAAAAGGAATGCCAAAGTTTATGAGAAAATGGCTAACAAACTCTTTGAAATGACTGGAGAAATTCGCCACGGAGAGGAAATAAAGATAAAAATTACAAATATGACATTCCAGTACAGGTAAGCTTCAGTTAATTCTTTTTATTTTAAGAGATTTTAGCAGGGACAACGCAGTGATTTTTGCCTTTCAGAAAGAAGACTCCTAGAGGAAATCTGTCGATAAAAGATTAAAGATTGTTCATATCGCTTTTAAAATTCTCTCTTGCCAGTGCTGTTACGTCATTGTTAATTTTTTCCCCCATTTCATGGCAAACTCCGGGACAACTTTTGTTTCTTTATAATTAGCTAGCATTGTTATGATGCAGAGGGTTGGAAATGTATTTAGTGGGAAAAGAGATTTATTTTTTTCTCTCTTTGCTGAGGGGACTGGTTGTGTTAGTCTGGCAGCAGTTCCGTGCAGTGAAACTCCTGCAGTTTGAAGTGGCCAGTGAGAATCGGTATTGCAAGGCAAAGTTTTTTTTTTTAAAAAAAAGCAAATCAGAATAATGTTTTGGGGGCTGAAGCTCCTCGATTTTGTTCTCGTGAGTTGAAGGGTTACACTTCACGGGGCCAAGAATAATTGAATGTCTTATTACGGAGTGACACACATTGCTATAATTATAAGCAGCAGCAGCAGCAGCAAAAGAACTATGATATCTGCAGAGAGAGAATCAATGTGCACCGTCAATACTGCTCCAGAGGAGTCGGGGGGAGGGCAGAGGTGTCTACAAGGGGACGATAAAGAACAGGCAGTGTCAGTCAGGAGGGGAAGTTTGCTTTAGAAAATGCGAGGCATTTGTGCATTTGTTGTTTGCAGGGGATAAAATAATTAGAACTTAGCAGAAATACTTGCTTTTTTTTTTCCCTTTTTTTTTTTTTTTTTTTTGAATTCTTATCTCTGTGAGGCAGTAACTGCCTCATACTGGAAATCCTGAGTGGTGATTGTGGCTATGTGCTTGTAATGCAAGAAAATCAAATATGTGGCTCTTTTATTTAATCTCTCCTCAAAGCTCGTATTAATAATAAAAAAGGTTATTACAGCAGGCAACCATGTTAAAACTGCTTGCTTTTCTGTAAGGCACCCTTACTGTAGTTAATGCAGAGACTACTCATCAAATAGAAAACTAGGGAAAATCCTGTAAATCCCTTAACTTTGAATGTCCTTCTTCTACATTTGTATGATCCATGAGCATAATCTTTTAACATCGTTTCCCATAATATTTAACTTGATGTTTTGTAGCAAATGCTAATGTCTCCAAAATGTTTTACTAACCCTGCTGTAATTCTTAACATTTTTTATTCAGCCAGAATGTAGATGAGAAAGCTGGAAGTAAGGCAGATTTTTGCCCAGCATCACACAGCAATTCATGCACTCGGATGCAGATTTAGAAGTCGAGAGTTGTTGGCTAACAGGCCTTTGCTTAGTCTGCTAAATCTGCAGTCCTCCCTGCTGAGAGATACATCTCGCGGCACTGAGATTTTACAGGTGTCTAGCAACAGGGCACGATATTTAAGTGCTGTAATTGCCAAGTGGAATAGGTTATTTGTGTCAGCCTTTGTTCCAAATTTTCAGCGTTGTCATCCATTGGACTACCTCAGTTTTTCTAATGAATGTTTTTACTTTAAAGTTGTGCTGGGGGAAGGGAAGAAATGAAATCACTCGAATACGTGCACTGTGTGTGTTGGAGGGGAGAAAACATAGCATTTAAAAAAAATTATTCTTATGTTTCTGTGAACTTCTAAGATAGCTTCTGTTGTATGCTGTCATGCTGCTTTTCTATTTTGCAGTGCATTGCAGCTCCCTGCCCATTGATTAAGATGCTAATTTAGGAGAGTTAGAAAACTGCCTTGCACTGTCACGGTGCTGTTTCATTTTGTACTCCTGAAGATGAAATGCATCTTCCTTATTGTTTGTTCTTATTCAAAACATGCTGTGTGCTTTGCTTTCAAGGCAAGCTGCTAGAGAGAACAGGGACAAACAGGAGCTATGACTTAGGATTTCTGTTTTTTTGGGTACTTTTTCTTGGTGTGATAGGAAACGTTGTGATGAAACTGTAAATGATGTGAGTTGTCACCTACTGCTGGCTTTGCTGTGGGGCAGCTCAGTTTTAAACCACATTTTGGTGCCTGTGAAGATGCTTTACCTCACTGTGCTGGTCATCAGCGCTGCACTGTGGCATAAACTGGAAAAGAAGATCCTGAGATTGGGAAAATGCTCTATTTTGCAATAATATTTTGTACTGATTATTTTGGATTAGTGGGCAGGGCAGGGGAGAAGAATGTAGTGCGA